TGAGAAAAAAAATAATATATCATAACTGACATTCAAACTTGAAAATTTGTTACTTTTTGTCAAAATTAACATTGTCCGGTTACCCCATTCTTTTTGGCACTGAGCCAGAACAATGTAGAATATTGTTTTGTACAACTCTGTATAACTTTTATGCATGTATGTTTTTTCGTTTTCGAATTATCACACAGAGCAAAATAAAACTTTTGATTTAAAGCAAACTTTTGATATAAACTAGTATACTTTATTCTCGTGAAATTAAACAAAAATGAAAATATTTCTGATAAAAATATGATCATCATAAAACGTACATGTAACATATGTTGATTTTTACATCAAAATTTAACATCAAAACAAAAAAAAAAAAGGAAAAAAGTAGAAATAAAACACATCTGTGATGTTGCCAGGACCAAATCTGTAAGAGAGTATTATTTATTGCATTTGCTGCATGATGATAATGCATGTAAATATAATGTAAATTGTTTGATCAGAATTATATCACATACCTATCCTATCAGCAATGATGCTTTGGGTAACGTTCAGGATGTAACCCCTTGAAACAAGAGTGCATGGCCAGGATATGCCCTTGAGACAACGATTCTTGATCTCATCTTCAATCCCATACTTGTGCAGACACAGCACCTTGACTCCTTTTTTTCAGGTAACTTCCTGAGTTCCCTTGGTCCTTGAGGATCTTCAGGAAGTTTTTTGTTGCCATCCACCCACCCCCACCCTCCAAGCTCTATTATTGATATGTAGAACGTGTACCTAGATTTTACTTTTCCCAGGCCTCCGAAATTCTCTTTGTATAGTAGATATGAGTTCAACACCATCCTGGCTATGTTGTTGAACACAACCTTTTTCCAGTATTTCACGGTCTTTTTCTCATCCAAGTACACATACAACAACATGCCTAATGTATTGACCCCACCCATAAATTTATTATATTGTAATATTATTTGTGGCTTTGACTTAGCCATTCTGCACCTAACAATTTGTTCTTCACATGCTCTCACATGATTGGATAATAGCAGGACCAGATTTTTTTGTGAGGATTTTTCTCAGAAGCCACAGGCTAACAACGGGCCAGATCTAAAATGATGTTTGGCCGACAGAAAACTTAGATTTCAGTGGGGCAGGTAAATATTTTCTGTTTTGTCAAACTGTGCCAGTGATGTAGATACCCAGTGAATATAAATATCAAATAAGAGGAACTGACATGAAGAAATTATCTACAAAAAGATGATAACCTTTATTCAGGTACAACCCCGTCTCAAGCAGTTTTTTACAACGCTGTACCCTAGACCAAATTTAGAATTGTTGTCCTCTTCCTGCTGAGACCTGGCCCCTCTAAATGAAAAAATCAAGCAGTACTTAGAGACCGAGTCATACAGCATCCAAAATTTTATGCCCCACTGATGATGATATTTTTTTGGAAGGTACTGTACTTCATGAGGGAGGTTCTATTTTTGGTACCAGCAAGGCTCTCATCCACACAAATTTGCTGGTGTGGCATGCAGTAATGTCAAAACACTGTTAGTATGATCAACCAGTGGTTGATATTTTGTACAAGGATTGTACTCTTCTTCCACTGGGCCAGATAACTTAAGAGTTATTGACAAGATGGAAAAAACGTAACAAGTTCTTGGAAACATTTTCCAAGAACTTGTTACGTTTTTTCCATCTTGGAAGAAGTGGACCAGTAAGATGTTGTGGTAGGCTTTTTGACTAATCCCATGTTCAATATACATCCTATAAACCTCTTTATTTCTACAACCAAAAGTTTGGACCAGTTCTTCAGAGTGAATGGTACATTATCCCCTATGCCATTTATGACTTGTTGCATGTAACGATTTGATTCCGTTACAATTAAATTGAGTAAAGTCATTGTAAAAAAAAGATTGAAATACTCAATCGGGGATGAATCTGGAGGTGGCATGTGCTTAGGGCCAGCTAGCTCTAGAAAAGTGAAAGGAAGTGAAGAAGGTTGCACTGGAGATAGAACCTCCTGATAGTCCTCATCATCATCATTCCTGGATTGCATAAACTGATTAGAGAAGCTTGGAGAGGTCAAATCATCAGAATCGTTATCAGACTCTTCATACATACTAATCTCAGGGTCAGAGTCAGACTCTGAAATCACATCTGAGAAATTCTCCATATATTCTAGGAGGTCAGAGTCATCTAACATTTTTTTAACTTTAGATGTCGACACCATTATAGTACAATAAATGTTAATGAAAATTGATAAATCTAATTTAAAAAAAATAAACTATATGTAACGACATGTTACAATATAAAATTAAAAGTAATAATAAATAAAATTACGATAACTGAATCGAAAATATAAAATAAAACAATTACAAATAACTCATTAAAAATATGATTCGATATAGGATCAAAATTTATATTTAAAATTATGAAAAATATATCATATATATCTTAGAAAGTAAATCACTTTATTTTATATAGAAAACTAAATAGAAAAATGAAAGAATGATTGAATAAAATGAACAACGAAAAGGTATGGAACCTTACCTGTAACATAGACAACAGTAGTCTTCGAGCGAAAAAGCAAAAGTGAATTCCAAAAATTCCAAATAATGGCTTTATAGATCAACAAAATACCATCTGGACACAAATATGTGAAACAGAGGGTAAACAAGACGTTGCCATCAAGTACTGACATCTGTTGTCGATAAATTTCAAAAAAATTTATTTTTAACAAGGTGCCTATGAATCAGCACCCTGGTAATCCCCATTAACAATGGGGTTGCTCTAAATGAACACAAAAAGAAAGAAATTTTTAAAGATTTCTTATGCAAATGCAAGCAAATAAAAATCAGATTTTATAAAAAGATGTAGAGAAAAATCAAGATGTTGCTGATACTTCGGCTTACGATTAATAGGAAAGCTCAGAAGATTACAATATTTTGCCAAAAAAGAAACCATCCTTGTTTAATGATGTTTAGCAGTGAAGAAAAAATTAATATTAACATGCAATAGTTTTGGTTGTGATTGTATGTTAATTATTGATTACTTTAATAAACATATATCTCTTAATTACGAAAAAGAATAGTATACTTTTATAACTTTTTGTATCTAGCCCTATGTTTTGTGTTAGTCCTTTATTTCATATAGCATGGATTTGCATAACACTGTAGTTTTTTGGAATCTAACTACCATGTTACATGAGGGTAATTGTATATTAAAACACAAGTTCATAAATGTAAAAAAAATGAAACAAATATTAATTAAAACCCTAGTTTTTCATAAATGATATATTTTATGTACAAAGACTGCCATATTTATGTCAAATATTTTAAAAAATTTATTTATACTAACTCTGTATATTTTCACCATGCTCCTTTAGCTTATCTTCTAACATTTTGCAGATTTTATCACCTAAAAATATATTAAGAAAAAAAAAGTTCAAATCCTGTAAATTTTTTTTATAATGTCTCTATACACTGTATTAAGTATAAACAAAATCCTTAATAATTAAAAAAACATTTTGAATAAATTTTTATTTTTTGTTTTTAATGGTATGTCTGGGTTGCATCACAAAGGAATATGCAATTGAATAAAAAGGATCATGAAATGGTATTCAATGTCCTTTTACTGATATATAAAATAGCCTATATTAAATTATAGAGAGAGAGAGAATGTGCTGCATAAGAATCTGGGCTGCAAAGTCAGAAGTAAATTTGTTGATAGAAGAATCTATAGAAATAGACCAACTTCAAACTCCTCTCTTTTTTATTATGTACTTTATATTAAGCTCCTAATAGAGAAGTTGCATGAACGTCATCTCATGTGACCAAGTCGTCATCGCTCTGCCTCCTATGCCATATTTGTGCCATGTCGTTCGTGGAGATGTATATAGTCTGGCTTGTATGGATGTTTATCACGTTTAGAACATGGAAAAATGCATTTTACTTTCCCAGCCCTGTTATATATAACAGTAGGGAAACTGGAAACATTTTTACATTTTTGGACACACAGGGACCATGGAACATTGAGAAATGCAAGAAAAACAAAAAATAATTAAATATTTTATCTGTATCTATGGATGTGTGGGAGGAACAATTTTGTTCACCCAATTTGAAGCTGAATTATTTCCATTACTTTTATCAAAAATTTTTGAAATTTTGCAGGAAGGTTTGTATATTAGGGGATTCAATGTTATTAAATTTTGGTAGTTAAAGGTCAAAGAGATGGTGGATCGTATCTCAAGTAGGGTCGGACTTCATAAAGATTATACTCGTTATTAACGCTTACAATTTTTTATAAAATTCATCTGTACCCTCAAAACTTTTGCCATTTTATAACAACTAAAAATATCAAAAGTTTTTTTTTATAACAAAATCTCATAAATAATGGTGCCCCACACAAATTTATTTATGTTTAATAATTTACAATTTATTTTTTTTAAATAAATATCTCATAACATATTGAAAAAGTTATGCAACTTTTTGCTGGATTTTTTTACTAGGTTATTTAACAACTCTTACTAGTCAAGATACTGACTGGTAGAGAAGTAACATTTTATGAATTCATTCTTAGAGGATCACAGTTCATGACTGAAGGTAGAATATGGTGACACCTTTCTTAATAATCCGATTTTTAACTCTTAATTAATTTAATCACACAAAAGAATACAGATCACTTAAGAGTCAGTTTTGTATCAAGTGGTTGGGTTGATCCAAAGATTTTGATAAAGTTCTTCAGAACCTAAATTTCTTTTGTTAGGAAAGGTAAGTATAACAAACTATGACACTTGGTCATAGTATCATTGTACTATAATAATTAAAAATGTATGTTTTATGAGTTTTATTGACCATTGCATAACATCACTTCTAAATACTGAGTGGTAAATTTTCTTTTTTTTCTTTGTAATTGTTGAATTTGTTTTATTCTGTTTTAAAATTTACTTACACTGTACCTCTTCATTAAGTGAGCCACTCAAGGTTTATGCTTTCCCCTGTTTGGTTACTCTGTCATGTATCAGGTAAGGTTAAAACAGAACAGAAATGTCACAAATATAGCACCGGTAAGATGCACATGCAGGAATACAATACATCACATGCAAATTGTCTATAAGGGCATTAGCCTCCTATCTTACATTATAAAGGCCTCCCATAAATCAAGATCTTATTTTATGATGTTTTCCCTACTTTTTTTAATAATTAAATTTCCTATTTAAATACAATTTCACACTTTACTCCCCTCTCTCTTGGGTGTTATGCTTTTTAAATTATATTTATATAAAGCAAAAAAAAACAATTTGATAAAAATGATTTTGTTTTTGTTCTTTTTCATTTAGTATATGTAACGCACAAAAAATATCTGCCATCAATAATTAATCAATCTTTTGTTGCATATCACTAATTACCTTTTTCTTATCAGAAATCTATATTCAAATAGATTTGGTGCTAGCTACTTCTAAATTTTTATTGTAAAAAAAGATCCATACAAAATGGCTAAGATGATTCAGGTTAAATCTACTGAATACTTTACTATAACGATAGATGGAGAATATTGTGTGGATGTTGATGAATGATAATAAAATGTGAAAAAAAGATAAATGCTCTCAGTTTTAATAAAAATGCTGGATGATTCATTTGGTAGTGATGAAATGTCATTATGTGTTCATATAACCAAAGTATGTTTTAAACTATTATTTAGAGGCAGAAATCAGACCTCTTGAAATCCACAAGTTGGTGTTTGAGTCAGACCTAAAATTCTTGTAGAATTTTAGAAGATTCAAAGTTGGGTGCTTGGTCTAACAACTTCATAGCATTGATTAAAATACATTAATAAAGATTCTAAATATTGTTTGATACTTAAATATTTTAAAAGTTTTTGATTCCATTAATTAATAATTAAATTTCCTATTTAAATACAATTTCACACTTTTCTCCCCTCTCTCTTGGGTGTTATGCTTTTTAAATTATATTTATATAAAGCAAAAAAAAAAAAATTTGATAAAAATGATTTTGTTTTTGTTCTTTTTCATTTAGTATATGTAATGCACAAAAAATATCTGCCATCAATAATTTATTCTGTAAAATGTAACTTTTGTTTTATAAAAGGTTCCATAGATCAGATATCTTAGTATCTAAATAATAAATTTATTATTATTAAAACAGTTCTTTAATCATCCTATTTTTATAATTCACATTTTTCTGTACTTTTCACTTTCTCTTTCAGATTTTCTAGAGTGTTCTTAAGATAAACACACAAACTTCTTTAGTTGAATAAACTTAATAAATCAAGAAGGAAAACCTTTACCTATCTAGCATATTTAGATATTTAAGCTCATATTCAGGACAAAAATAGTTCTTAAAATACAAATTCTTCAAAAATTGAGGGGCTTTGTATTTATTAAAGTTATTAAGCAAAAATTATAGATATACCTGCACATTGTTATGAAGTAGTCAATTAAAAAAGTCAACTGCAAATATTAAACACCAAAAATTTCAGCAAAAACACAAACAAAGGAATTTTTGCCTTAACTTCACTATATAGATAGCAAAGCTCATTCCTTAAAATGAAGAGTATCAGAGTATAAGTAAAGTTGCAAATACAACAAAATTGACCAATTTTTTTTTTTTATTAATGACTGGGACATGCTTTGGGAGACTCAGTAGAAGTAAAGGCAATAGATTATTTAGTCATAACAATAGTAGTACAGCAAACATGAAGCTGCAGTTCATAAAATAGTGAGGTTGTGACTGAAGTTTTCAACACAAAAATGTGAACATCGGACATTCAGCGCCGCCTTCCTGTAAGCCTAGAAGTTTGACAATGGCATTTGGAACATCAAGCATGATTCCACTGACGTTTCAAACGCCATTGTCAAACTTCTAGGCTTACAGGAGGGCAACGCTAAATGTCCAACATTCACATTGAAAATTTCGGCCACAACCTTGCTAATATCTAAATTAGATAACCAATCAATGGTAGCATTAATTATCTGATAGATCTTGGTCAACATACACTGATTAGAACCAAATCTTGGATATGATGCATTGTCTGGAAGGCTCCATAATCACAGTTGGTGAATGAGAATAAGTTCCATTTGTACAGAAAAATACTTTAGGGCTGCATTTTGTTATAAAGCATTCTTCATGTTCAAATGTTAACTGAAGAAGCACAAAATTAGTTTAGGTAAAAAATGCCTTTGTTTTTATAACATTTCTTCTATTTAATATTGAAGATGACTTTTTATCATCTAATTATTTATAATCATCATCATTTGTATCTTAGTGATATTATATCTTATTAGGCATAAAAATTTAAATAATATTCTGTTTAAAAAGAAAATTTTTCTAATAAAATTTTGAAATAACTAATTAAGAGTAAATTGAATAATTCACTGCTTACCAAAATAATTAAGATAACATTTTGCTTCCCATGGTGATTTTAATGGTAATGGATATTTTTCTAATGACTTAAGGGCCTATAAAATATAAATTTTGTAAAATGATTAATTTAGTTTAGAAAATACATGTGTGCACAACTGTTTAGTAAAATAATTACATATCGATCAATGTTTGTTGATTTATATGAATCATTATGTATTATATAATAATATATGAAAAGTAAATATAATTCTTACCTTATGACATTTAAGTTTCTAGTTCTGTTAATTATATTCAAATAAAACATTTGAGATGTAAAAAAACTTTCTCCAAGTAAAAACTTGTGACAATTTAGATGACTGTCAAAAATTTTTTTAGGAGTTTTTCTCTGGTAAAAATAAGGTTGGCACTTGCAGGCAAAATGTAAGTAAAAATATTGTGGGTACTGCTTCCAAGTGCTAAACATATCTTTACCAAAGAAAAATTTCTAAAAAAAATTTTGACTGTCATCTAACTTGTCATAAGTTTTTACTTGGCAAAATTTTTTTACATCTCAGATGTTTTTGTTTGGATATCAATTGTTTTTGTTTAATAATTGTGTTATTATGTCAAGACATATGATTGGTCGGCATTCGGTGACCATTGACTGAACGTGTCGCCAACCAAATGCTTTCAATATTCATTTTGGTTGGTGCCAACTGAACATGTCACCAACCAACACATCACCAATTGAATGCATCACTGACTGACACTTTCAATATGCCATTTAGAATAATCATTATAAAACATTTTAATTGGCATAAATTTGAACTTTTGTAATTCTGAGTAACATTTTGAATAAAATTTGTTTGTTTCTAAGCAATTTTATCTTTATAAGCATAAAATTAAGCTGTAAAACTGAATTAGCTCTACGGAAAACTTCTATGATCTTTGACAAATTGACCTGGAAGTTTCACCAGCACATCACTGATAACAAGAAATGCTTAAGTTTAAAATTTGAGCTTTCTAGACCCAGTAGTTTTTTCTATATGAGCATCTGCAGTGCTGGATGAAAAAGAGGAGATAAAATACAGCTTTTTTTTTCCAATTTTTGCACTTTTCAATTGTTTATATTTTGGCAACTGCTTTATAGACAATCTTGAAATTTTGCACATTACCTAAGAAAATAATTTTCTTTCAAATGAGATATTTGGAATTACTTCAGGTGTTTGGAGGCAAAGAAATAGACCACCTAAAATAAGCAACTTTGATTCTTGAATATATAGCCAGTCAGCGACTTTTTTTACTTGGCGGGGAATCATGGGAGTAACTCCCCACCAAATAAATTACTTATAACTGAAGTGTAATCATAAACAAGCAATATACAAATATTGATTAAATTTTAACATCTTGTATAGATTAATATAGTAGCATAAACTAATAATATATTTAAAGTTAAAATTTAAACCTTTAAAATTTTTATAAATAGGTCTTATATTGTATAGAACATGGTATTTTTTTACAACATTGACAGACTCCTAAGAATAATAGATGATTCCAAGGGAGTCAGTTCTTACTGATTCTTGGAAAGTATCCACCACCTGAAGATGTTAGAGGGGATTAAACTCATTAGTCGATTGATGGTGCAGGACATAATTCAGATTTGAGCAATACACTTGAGTTGTTAGCCCAATATACAGTTGACTTTGTGGATGCTAGTGGAAGTAATGAAAAATATAGATATAGAAGATTTATGCAGAATATTTTTCTCATATGCTTTTATCATTACTTCCAATCTAATCAAATACTAATCAAATCCTAAACAATTGATATGTATATGCAAGAATCAGGACTGATACAAGTAAGATTCTTTATATACAAAAATTGTGGTTATGGTCATAACCTATTTGAACTATATCATTATCATATCACTCCCACTGCAGGTAAAGAAACATTATACAGGTCATGCATGATTTCATGATCAATGTCATATCCAATTTTTGAGGAGAAAGTTTTGCACAGTGAGGAGTTGCTTAATATCAGCATGAATATCATTGCTCATACAATAGCTACAGCATCCTTCTGCAATGATCTACAGAAATATCAGATCATAAACAAAGCTTAGACTTTGTGTAAACATGAATTTCCATACTGAGTGCAATTTACACAGTGATTTCTGTAATAGTGTGTACCTTAAGTTGAGATGGTATTTTTCATAGACAAAGTGTTATATATGAAAAAGAGGATTATCAACTTGCAAAACAGTCATGTGGTGTAAGGAGAATCCCTATATTCACAGGCATCAACAGAAATTCATGAGTGTTGATATCATTAGTAGCTATTTAATTGGACAGTACATAACTTATTGCCCCATCTAAATGGACACCTCTATCTGATCTAAATGTAGCCAGAATTATTAGAAGAGGTCTCAGTCATATCTGCTGCCATATGTTGTGGAACACGATGGCACACCATCCCACTTTAGTGTGGATATGAGAAAGTACTTTGACACTTTCAAGGATTTATCCATTTTATGATCAGCAAGATCTCCAGATTAACAACACTGGTTTCTGTACAGCCATATGAATGAACTAGTTTATAAAATACAAACTGAATCAGACCATCTGTCTCAGGTTACTGCTGCTATAGATGGCATTTGACAAATACCTAGAACTTTTGAAAACATTCATTATTCCCTGCATTACTGATTTATTGCACATATTTGGGTTGGGGTAAAATTTTGAGCAATTCCAGTAATCTGAAAACAGTGGATTTGTATACTGAACAGAATAAGAAATTTAGGAAATGACACACATGAATCTTTTCAGTCATCTTGCACTCTTTACATTCTTATTATGCATGGCAAGTTGCCTGCAAGTATGTACTGTATGAACAACTTTAATCCCCTTTAGCATCAAGAATGCATTTCTGTTCAAGTGTTTATTAGTAATTAGCACATTGCATGACTTTCATATCATGATAGAATTAAGGCAGAGCTGGAAAGAAAGAAACAAGTCTTTCACCTGATGGTTGCAAACAGGTGAGCTTGCCACCAAAAAAAGACTATCCTTTTACTTGCCATCTACAAGAGAGCTGATCCTTGAACTTTGACCCAACCGTACATTGAAAATGAAGTTATAAACCCCTATTTTTTATATTTAAATGGATCACTATTACATTTTTGGATTCCTCATTGCAATTAATAGAAAATGGCAGTTTCATCAAAATCAGTTATCAAATTTTGAGAACGACCTTGATTCTATAAGCCCATAGAGGACATGCTAGTGACCTTAAGACACTGCCAGACAGTCATGCAATATCACTTTGTCATGCACACTCATGCCACAACATTTATTTTGAAAAAAATCATGGATTCCAATTTTTTATTACACTTTTTGAATCCTCATCACATTTAACGGAAAATGGCAAAGCTTAACCAAAATTGATCAAGCAAATTTTGAGATCAAATACAGTTCTGTAACCCACATAGAAGAGGCCTCGCTAATGCTCCAACTCAAAAATTGATTCTTTTGGCACTATCATTCCAAAGAGTTTATTAAAGTTCAAAAAAGCTCATTCATTCTTTCAGTATCATCCTGTATAACAAGGCATTTAAAGAAAAGCTTATAAAAGTTACATGAATACTGTAAAAAGCTGAAAAAATTCTCATTTATTAATCTGAAATAACAGGGAAAAAATTTATTAATAAAATAGAAAATTCTTTAATCTTTTAAAACAAAAACAAAAGACATTTTAAATATGACTTTATATTAGAGTACAAAATTATATTGAAAATATATCAATACAATGACATTTTATTACATTTTGACAACTAATAAATATTAGAAGATTGTGCTTAGAAAATTATGCTGCTAAAAGTACTGATAAGAAAATAACTGACTTCAAAAACATATTAAAAAAGGAAAAATAAACACTTTCCTGCTTTTATGGAGATATTAACCTTTTATAAATTCATAAAAATCCAGAAGTATTATATACAACATGTTAATAAAATTTCTCATATGTAGTACAGCCAAAATTAAAATCAAACTATTGATGTTGTCTAGCAATGATTAATTGCAAGCATGCATTCAGCATTTTCTTAGTCATCAACATTTGTATGACATACAGACATTCATATCTGAAATGAGACTTCATACACAATGAAACAATACTAAATTCTGCATCAAACTTGTTAAAACTTTACCAAACATTTAATCTACTTAAAAAAGCATATGTTAATGATGCCATTTTACTTAATGTACACAAGTGTATAAATGGCAAACATTTTAAAGAAGGCAATGAATCGACAGAGGATTATCTCCATCCATGTAGCCCAATTTTGAACAAGAAACCAGAGTTCCAGTATGTAAGGAAATCAACAGACTATAGACAATCAATAAACAATCCTATTTTGAGCATTTCAAATGGTTTTCTGCATGCTCTTCTGTCATTCAAATCAACAGAAGTAAAACATGTTGCAACAATTGCACTCAGAGGTAATGCAAATTGGCTGCAAGAACTGTTTGAATAAGTGACACTGAACAAATACTGGCAGAAGTATGTAGCTACAGAAAATACTTATTTGATGATGATCGTCAGTAAAAATTTGTACTGTAAATGTAGTAAATTTTATATTAGAAGTTCAATTTACTTTTAACCTTACTATAGATACATTGTCTATAGCTCAGTTCAAGTTTTTACCAAAATTACTAAAATATCTGAAGTCTTCATTTCTATAACTGTATCTTCTTAATTAAAATTATGATAAATTAAAACTTTCAGCCTATTATTGTACTATGACATAAAATATGTAAACACATACGCTCTTTTTTTTTCGTCTGAAAAATACACATTTATGAAATCAGAAAATTATTCTACATCTAACAAAACATTAGAGAAATTAATTTTCACTTGCAATAAATGACATGTTTAATTTTATTGACAGAAAAGCTACATAGGCCTTATTGCATAAATGTAAAAAGCAGAAATGGAACTCAATACATACCCATAAATTACAACTTAAATGCAACAATAACAAACAGGATATAAAAGAAAATAAAATATGCACAATAAGAGCTGTAAATGTACTCATCTACATCTACTCTCTCTCTATATATTGTATATATATATAAAACACTTATAAAAAAGTGTTGTGACAATTTTAATCTATTGTGAAGGAATAGAAAATAGAAATAGGAGCATCAATATCAGAACTTGATGAATCATCATGAAATTTTTTGAACAAATGAATAAAGCAAGCAGAGGTGGGAGGGTTGGGCCATCCTATAGAAAGTGGAACAAAGGGAGCAAAGCAAGTGAGGAAAGAACTATTAAAAATAGGGGTCCGAGGAGGTAAATTGTCACAAAATTTTTGTTATGAATAGCCTATATTGGAAACAAATGGACAAAGCAAGCAGAGTTAGACCCTAATAAGCAAATAAGGTAACCACAAATAAATGAACTATAAGAAACATTACATGCATAACAAATGAGCAGAAAAATGTAAAATAATTAAATTATAAATATGTAAATAATAAACTAAAATAACAAATACCCAAAAAATATCAATATATAATAATTATTATGTATATAAATATTAATATAAAATGATTAAACATATCTAATATTTATAGCTTTCATTAAAAAAATTTTAAGTGTGGAGCATGTAACAAACAGTTAAATTTTGTAATGTTTGAAACTTTTATTTGTTCTAACTCATTTTGCTAATACTTGAGGGATAACAGGATAAAATGACCAAAAACATTTTGTAGGTTTTGGTATTAAATCTAATTTTTGTTGAAACTGTAAAAATGGTATGATTATACTCTTACAGCTTTCAATAAACCTAAAATAAAAATTAAGTTTGACATGAAATATAAATTTTAAGATAATGCTAACTCAGCTTAAGAAGAAAATTAATCGAATACTCTACTCCTATACTTAATTAAATTTGAATTATAATAGGTTGGGTTCTAGCAATTCATGTAGAGACCATACAAATTTATATTATATTTAAATGGAATAACTTTCTTGTTTTTAAAGGATGTAGATACTTTTACACTTTTTGCTAAAGATGCCATAATTATTAATGTTATTAGTGAGCAAGACAAATGTTATGTGACTTACAGATATACAATTGTTTGTTTCTACAGGACATCTATAAATGATGTCATCTTCCGTATCATTAATTGTAATATTATGCCAAAAATCCCTTTGAATAATTATGAGGTAAATACACCACATCAATAACTTAATGGACATTAACATAAAATAATCTATCTACAATTTTATCAACAGAAAACACTACATGTCAATAGCATTGTGTTAATCATTTATTTTTGCTACACCTCGATAGCAAGTTATTTCACTCTTAATTTAAAAGTTTGTCATGCATTCTTCAATCAACACAATGGAAACATTGGACATGCATGCCCATGGGAATTAGTGTTGCCACCTTTTCAAAAATCACTGACCCGGATGGCAGGTCAGGTTTGTTCGAACAGAAGTTCCTGATGCATGCACAATGTCATTTTACATTGCAAAGAATAACGTGCATGCCAGTTCTAAATCAGTTACAGTTAGGGACTAGGACTTGAGTAGGAGTAACATAAGTAACCTAAATTAAGAAAGAGCAGATACAGTACAGATAACTTAGCTCTATTTGAAAAGTGTACGATCGTACATGCAAAAAAAAAAAAAAGTTGACAGGTTGTGCGCCACACATCTGCGTAAACAGACTAACATGGCAGAATTGCAGATGAGTTTCAGTGAGTACGAGTTCTTTTGCTGTTAAAATAGTGTAAATTTGTAAAAATATTGGTGAGAACTTTGTTTCATCATAATTTCACACTTAGTACGAAATTCCCAGATAAAATTAATAGTTCACCCAGACAGTGAGTCAATTCCCGGATTGTTCAGGTGAAAACCGGACAGGTGGTAACATTAATGGGAATGTTTTTTCCTACCAGGTCTAATGGTAAGTTTATGTTGGTTAATGTTTAAGTAAGTTTGTATGGTCTCTACATAAAATGAATCATTAGAATCCAACCTATTATAGCTAAAGTTTAATTAAGTATAAGCCTGTATTACTAATACATAGACATACTTCAATATTTAATTAAAATATAAAATAAAATTGGTCAAACTTTACCTACGTGCATCATCATCATGGCCATACACGTTCTAACCTAACATAACCTATTCTAATTACCAAATTATTGGTAATTTATTAGAATAGGTTAGATTTAGTTGTAATGTGGATCACCACTGTGCGGCCATGACGCTGCACGACGGTAAAGTTTAACTATAAAATTTATATATGGTGTATTGTATTTTCGTTACAAGTTAAAACTGACTCTAGAGTAAGTGTGTTGAAGTTTCCATCCCTTTTCAATGGCTTCGTCTCTCCATTCTTTCAACCACTTGGCGAATAACGGATTGGGGCACTCGTAAACCATCTTCTTCCTTTTTGTTCTCTTTTTCATCACACAATCTTTTCCTTTCTCCATTTTTCACTTTATACTTCGACATTAACAATTTGAACCACGTGCGTAACTTTTGAAAAATTGAAGCGACGGGATTGGCTATATAGGTAGTCACGTGAAGAGTTTCCAAGAAGCATCGACAGATCAAGAAACGATTTCGTTTTAATTGTTAATAAAATAAAATTGGAAATAGCGAAGCGTAGACAAACAGAACGCCCATTGACGACTCTAATCAAAAGATTTATTTAGGCTTTTTAAACTGGAGGAAAGCGATAAATGCAATTGGAAGCGAGATCCGAAATGACGCTAACCAGAAGACACGCCTATATACAATGAAAACTGGCATAAATAAACTGTCATAAAAAATACCACAGATATTCTACAATATAATAAAAACTCTTAGTTATTAATCGAAAAATGAGCTAAAGAGATACATGTACTGTACAACCAATAGACTCCCTACCAATGTCGATAGATTTTCTGGTCACCGACTGCGAGAAAAAAAGTAGTGGAAATTACTTCATTAGCCGCTACGGGCGCTTCGAACGTTTGGAATATAAAAACAGTAGAAGGCATTGTATAATATTTTTCAGTAGTTTAATCATTTGATTTTACTCGTTTAGTCATTAGCAAACGGACCAACGTGCTTTATTCCCGGGTGCAATTCTGGATACCCTAGTGCAGTGTTTTTCAACCTGTGGGTCGCGACCCCCTTGCGGGTCGCGAAGCCTTACACGGGGGGTCGCGGGTAAAAGAAAAAGACAAGTGTTTGTAGGTCCTACACTACATTAAAAATAAACTACAATTTCAGCCAGAATTACGGCCCACCCCAGAAAATGATAGCGGAAAAAGTGTTGAGCTGATCTGCAAAAAGAAATAAAAAGTAGAAACGTAGAAGCTGAAAATTCTGATCCTAAACAAAAAAAAAGGTCAACAACTTCCTGTACCGAATGTTATAATTAAAGGAAGTTTCATACTTTATGTGTGTTAAGTTATTGTCGATTCTTCTGAAATTTTCACTTTAATCAACAATAATTTGTCTCAACAGAGAGAAAATTAAATACATAGATTTTAAAATCACTGATATAGTTTTAATATGGCCCTAGGGGGTCGCCAGAATTTTTTAACTTGTAAAGGGGTCGCGTATTCAAGAAGGTTGAAAAACACTGCCCTAGTGAAAAAGACGATAAAAGGTACTTTTTAAGGGTTCCAGAAATTTATTTGAAACGCTGGAGAAAACTCATTTCGCGTAAAAATAAGAAAGTAACCGCAAAGGTTCGTATCTGTGACAAGCATTTTGAGGATCGATTCTTAATAAAATCATTCGTTCACACAATCGATGGCCAGTTAGTTAGTGCAGCTTGCATGCGATAGACGGGCACTTTTCCATCTAAATACCCCAATTGTCCATCCTGTCTAAGCATTAAAGTGTCCGAAAGCGACGATGTCCATCACAGAGAAAAACTTCAGTTGCCTTGAAAAGAAACAAGTTAATTTTATTGAAATCAAAAGTGTACAAGATATAAAACAGAAGTAACAAAATACAGTGTATCCAAGAAAAGTTAGAACTGCACTCTTCTTGCTTTCTTATTTGCCAATTTGTCAATAAGATCTGATTATTCTAAACTTTGCTACAATTCTTTTTCTGTGGCTAACAGTCCTAGATCATTAAACCTTTCTTGAATCATTGACGTTCCTTAAAATATCTCATTGAAGAGCTCATGACCATCAACATTCTTTATTAATTTGAAGGGAAACATGTAAATTGAAAAAAGATTTTTTAATTTCGTCTTCAGTCGTTTCTCCAAATTCACAAATAAATTTAAATACATTATTGCATTCATTTAGATTTTCAAATTTTTCCTGAATGGAATTTAATAAGGCTGTATCAACAATTGTTAGATAAAATTGTGTTTTAAACAATTCTTTTGACTTTACGATTTGTTCATCCGGACTTTCATAATCAAAATGGCGAATTTTAGTTCTACTTCTTGCAACTGGAAATTCTGCCGCTATATTTACTTCGGCAGCTGAAACTTATTTATGCCTAATTGTTAAATGCTATATCAGGTCTGGTTGCACTTAGAAATTTAACAATCTCACTCAAAATATTAAGAGATTCGTTTATGACGGATTGAGGACATTTGAACATTTTACTTACAACATCAATGTTTGAAAGAACATCATTCCATGTAACGACTGGGCAAATGAACTTGAAAGACGTAACCTGACCTAACAAATATTGAGCTGTATATTTTGTTTTCGCGTTTCGGGAATTATCATCTATTATATGATTTAAACTTTTCAAGATATTAATTGCAGTCTGAGAGGTCGAATTGCTTTTATTCTGCTCTCTCATCTTGCATTACATATTTCAATATTAAACTAGTGATATTACGATTTAGTATGCCCCATCTATAAGGGGATGCATAAAAAACGTGTACAATCCTTGTACAATGCTTAAAAATGAACTGTTACTTTGGCAGTATCATTTACAACTAAATTTAATGAATGAGATGCACAAGGTACAAACAAAACTCTAGAATTTATATTCCTTACATTTACGATTTATGTATCCGTTGTCATAAAAATTTCTCTTTCCGCTTCTTTCCCGAGACTACAAATATTCAAGTACAAAGTAACCGGTTTCAACTTATTTCTACTTAAGAAATAGTTAAATAATTGAGATATTAGGGAATTAGAATCAGAGACATAAATAAAACCCTACTGAAAGAGCCGGAATTTTACTGAAACAAAAATTTAGTTGAACAAATCTCTAGCCGAGTACAGTGGGGACTGATTTCTTCGTAATATCAGACGTAATAAAGACAGAATTTTTTCCAGCTCAATGAGAGTGACTGAAAAGTTATAAATTTTGGAAATTCTCGTGGACACTTGGTCCTAAAACGAATTAGTTAGAAAACAAACGACGGACAATCTATTAAGTTTAACATATTTACATTCGTACAGCTGTGGTGAGAAACGTTTAAAATTTACAACAACCCTGTCGCGTCCTTGGAGGACTATTTATGCGACAAAAGAGGCATTTGACGTTGACCACTATCGGCCGCCCTCGGGAATTGGTCGCCTGCGTGCATGCACGCATTAAACACCTACCAGGACACCGGCTTTGACGAGTAGAACACGTGTTTTACGGTAACGAATGCACGTGTTATATATTTGAATTTTGAATTTTTTTGTTAACTAGGTCCACTTTTCCTAAATATGTTGAAAGCAATGATCAACTGTCCAGTACTTTAATGACAGTGAAATAAATATGACAACGTTTACAAACATTAACGTATACATTTTTTTTAAACACATTAAATAAGTAGACAGTTTATTAGTGAAATAAAATCAAAAGATTACGAGCAATTATTTATTGTAACATGGTCACAACGCCGGGCTGCAATTTTTAATTTATTTAATTTAAAATGTATGCCCTTCACCTGAAATTAGTAGTGTTTGACCATGTACATCATACAATAGAGTCATGCCGGTCATTTATTAACTTCTTTCAAAAAGTTTTGAATTGAAATAACGTGACTTCCGATTTGCGTCAGAAGTTTATGTAAAGTTAATTTGTATGCATTTTATGTATTATTATTTTTTTCATTTATTTTATGCTAACGTGTATTAAAAAAGAATATTAAGATTGGCTTTATAAAATACAGTTGTTTATGAAATTACTAATATCGTATTTTTCTCGGAATGACCAGCATGCCGGAAAAACCGGGGTTACTGGCATGCCTGTTAAACTGCGACTATAATATAAAATTAATCAGATCTAACGAAACTAGTTGTTAATTAAACGTTAAAGAAACATTGTAATTTGACTGACTTAAAACCAGGAAGAGAGTTTTCGTTTACAAAACAATAAAACAAATAACATTAGTAGTAGTAATAGTAGTTAGTCAGTGTACGTTACACTGACCTTAAAAGTAACTCCGTCCTCTCAAATTTCACACAAAGCCGACGATAATCAGTGTAAGCCGAGATAATTTACTGCGAGTTTCTTAAATTTAATATGTTTATTTTTTCGTTGAAGCAATTAAACATATAATCGTAGTTTTTGTTGTAACACTGACTGTTTCACAGTTTTAGAATAAAAACGTGTTCATTTTTTAATGCGTCCTCTAGAGAGGAATGTAAACGTCACTCAATCCGGCATTCTCCCGAGATAAACCGGTATGTCAGTTTTTACAGCTCAATTCAAACTCCGAATAATACGTTTGGGACCTTAACAGAGCTGTACGTTAATTACGAAAAAAACGTAAATACTCGTGCATCGATTAATTATTAAATTAACCCATCAAAAAACGACGTGGGCAGAAGAACGACGAAGAAAACCGAAACTTGTTACGAACAGGTGGACGAAAAGGTGAGTTTAATTAAACAGAGTTCGAATGTCGAGTTACAAAGGCCACTTCCAGGGATGGAAAACGTGTTCGATATTCTTGCATTCATAATATTGTTTATGATATAAACGACTGATAAAAAATCTATAGAAGGATTTCTCTGATTTGTAGTTATCGAGTGGGTGTAACTTTTCGAACATTTTTGCTTTTATTCAATAAATAATTAAACAAAAAAATTTACCTGCAAAAAATGCTTTCACTACAAAGCTGTTAAAATCGTAAATGACGTGATAAATTCCAGAATAACGAATATCTTCTCACGCTTTAAAGTGGCCGGCAAATCTTCGTAACACAACATTTGAATTTTCACCCACATAAACGCTGTTGTTGTACCGTTTTAAGTTTGTTTATCGTTACTACTGTACTACTGTTTTTGTCGAACGAATGAATAACTCGGGGAAGTTTATGGTTTCTCGGTACCATAAGCTTAATTCTAACAATAGGACAGAAGTTTAATAATATTAATATGTATGACATATAATGATGGAGAACTTTAGTGTTTTCTAACAGGTAAAGAGTAAAGGTTGTTCGGCTTCTTACAACAGCGTCTTTATTCGACGCCTATTGACAAAATTCGTCCTTTGAAAGAGTGAGTATTCGAACTGATTCTTTGTTTTAATTTTAAAATATTGAAGGCGGGACTTTACATTTTCCTAAGGTTGATTATGGACGACGGCGTTCGTTATTTAGAAGTACTATAAATATAATAGATGTCCTATTTGAAGGGTCTGCGGATTGTAAAAATACGCGTTAAATAGAGGTGTCCGCTATTTGAGAGGGTCTGTTAATGGAAGTTTCGCCGTATTACGATTTCTTGTTTACAAATCTGACAAATTTGGAACTGTAGAAGTTTGTAGCCAGGAAAAGATTTCCAGAAGCATTTTTAGAGTGAGAAATTATCAACTTTTAATTAAATCTCCTTATATTTTATTTTATTCGTAATTCCACCTTATAATCTTACGAGTTAGAGCATTCCGTTCTAAGCATTATCGTATTTTTAATGGAAAAATCATTCATTTATAAGTAAGGTGTCTATCTAAAAATTTCTTTCACTGTTGCTTTAAAGTGTATATAATGTGATAATAGAGAGGTTGAGGCCGACGTTTTCATCGCGAAAACCGTGAACGTCGGACGTTCACATTTTCGCCATGAAAAAGTCGGCTCCAACCTCTCTAATAATTTCGTCAAACTGTTTATAATTAAATAAACTTTGGAAAAATTAGTAATGATATTAATCTGTAATGTACGCACCGCCAAGTGTAGTTTTACGTTTGAAAGCCGAAATACAGTTTTATTAAAAATGACATTGGCACCGATATCAAAACTGATCTTATATACTGAAAATTCTTGACCTAACTTTTGACGTTGGAACGATTACTTGACGTCCCCGATATCACGACTTTCCATAGCCGAACAATTAAGAATGTAAAACGTAGTCATTGAATGAAGGTTTCATACTTTATTGTGTTTCGTGTATGTCTAAGATAAAGCTGTAATAATTTGGAAACAATTGATGTACGCATGCTTAACGGCAGTTTTTGTACCTGTAATGTTTACAGGCATGCTTTTAGAGATTACATTTATCAGGGCCGTGCCGTGCTATGATTCAGAGATGCGGCCGCATCAGGCGGCACCGTGAGGAGGCGGCATAAAAAAACATTTAAGGGGTAGAATTTCAAAGACTTGCATCATACTTAGAAAATATACCGCACGGCCCTGGTAAGATACACCAAATAATAACAATTATAGCCTATATAAGACTAATAATTTATATAAGGGGCTGGAAAAAAACATATAAGGGGCGGCATTTCGAAGACTTGCATCATACTTAAAAAATCTACCGCACTGCCCTGACATTTATCATGCTTACCTGTAACCGCTTAGAAATAAAAAGTAATTATCCTAACACTAGAGAAAGGGTACCGCTCCGTGGACATTAATTAAAAATTGCCACAGGCCAAAAGAAAAAAGAAGACCAAGAAAACCGCCCGCATCGCCATTCTGAGACCAATTAACCACGTTCAGTGATTTTATCCTCGCGCCCCCTACTTTTTTTTTTTTAACTCTTTCTGCTCTGTGGGCACTAAGAGGACCTCTTTTAGCAAGCCCATTATGGATTCGGCCAGGCCTACAATGGGGTGGTCGGGTGGTGAGGGACGCCGACATATCCGGACGGACCACCCCCGAAAAATTCCTGGAGATTTTTCCACCCGTCCGGACTCGAACCCAAATTCCTCAGAAAAGTAGGCTGTCACCTTGACTGCTCGGCCATCCGGTCGCCAAACTCAGCCCCTACTGGGCACTGGAACCCCAATTATCATTTTTCTCCCGGGTCGGTTTTTTCCCATAAACTCTCTACCGTTACAGAATGGGTTACTTTATTTTCCGCAATAACATATTTTTTCTCGCGATTTTCTCATCACTTCCTTCGTCTTATTTCGATTGTTTTTCCTCGTTTACGTAAAACGTTCTCATATTTTTTTTTATAGAAACAATTCCTTTTAATATTATCGTATTAATACTTGAATGAGAAAATAAATATTGCAACCGAGATCCCGAGAAGATATTCATCTATTCGTTTTATTAAAAATTTATCCAGGTGATAATTTCGTCGAGGAAATTTACGGGAGTATTCTCCATCGACCGGCTGGCAACACTACGTGGCACGTCTAGCGGTTGATAATGGAGAAAATGGCGACTCTCACGATGTAAATTCTTTTGTGTGATCCGCAGAAACATAGTTGTAGTCGGCTAGGAGTTTAACTTATTCCAATTCCTGTGATGTTTATCCATTGGAGAAAATAAGCCGAAGTCGGAAATGTGTGATATATGTACGGAGGTCATCGAATTCCTAGAGAAATGTTAGTGTTTTCTGCAGTCTTTCGCACTCGTACTGCCCATTATTATTTAGTCGGACCGTTTCGCCGCCCGCTAATTCCGCCGCTTCCAACCCTCGCGGACCCGTTCTTTCCGCGCATTCCTCTCCGGACGGTGCTCGCTTCCACCGTGTAGGCCCACCGACGGGGGCCTTTTGCTCTCCACGAATTCTCCTCTCCTTAAAACTTTAGTTTCGTTTTCGTCATCACTTTCGCTCTCGCGTCGAATCTCTGATTTACCTTTCTGAGTTTTCTCCCAGATGCTGAGGTCCGGCTTCCGCCTCATATTAGACGTGTGAATTGTGAGCTGCTCCGGTCCGGCCGAGGCGTTGTAAAACTCTGTGGCCTGGAAGTTTGGCCGGGACCATGGGACATTCAAAATTAAGTGCGTTTCATTGTGGTTTGGAGATTGGGGTGCGATCTGGATTGTTCTTTGGTCTCTGGGAGCCGAAAACTGACAAGATGTGCTGTTCGATGGCTTCGGCCTTCGGCCGATGTTTCAGTTACTCGTGGGAAAATCTGTTTCTTCTTGGATTGCAAAGAGATGCTTCTGAATATTTAAAGTGATATTAGCATTTTGTTGTTGGTGTCTTATTTCTTGCACCATAAAACTTTGGTGGTTTCGATTATTTTCTGTTTCTGATTTTTCTGCTTGTTTTAAACCCTTGTTTCTTTGTGCTGTTTCCTTAATTCTTGTTAGATGAAATGAATTTGTCGGTGGGCCAGTTATGTGTGTGGGGAGCACTGTCAATAGATAGATATTTAAATTCATTAATTATTGTCAAAATGTATAATTTGGCACTTTTTGTAAAATTTTTAGTTATTTCATATATTAATACAATGTTTTGGTTGAAGGAGTATACAAACAAAACTTTAAAAAAAAAAAAATAGAAAATTCACAAAATAACTAATGATTATTTTATATAATACTTAGTTATTTTGTGAATTTTCTACTAGGAATGTAGTTTTACTGAATATGGTATATTTGGCCCAGTCATATTTAAATTATTTGATTATTTGCCAACCAAATATTTAAAATTTATAAATTAAGCAATACATTTTTGCTTTAAATGATGATAACAAAAACACTAAATTTTAGAAATGAAAATATATTATTGCCATGACATTTTTGAATGTAGAAAAATGATACAGCTGGATTGTTATTGAACTATGCTATGGCTAATTAATGTAAGTGACTAATATGGTGATGGCTTCTAAATAAATTGATCTGAAAGTGAAGATTGGACAAAATTTCAGGTGGAAGTTTTGGGTTTGGATCCCACTCTGGACCAATCTTTTCTTCCAAAATATTTTAAATTAAATTTTTATTTCTGATGATTAAATGTAACATGGGATGGAGACTTAACTGCTGATCCCTAGTCAAAATTACTTAGTATCTTAATAATTAATGGACCATAGCTTATAAGGATAATTAATAAGAATCTGACTGTATTGTTGATCATTAACATATGTTAGGTTGGTTTTATTTAAGGATTCAGTCATTAAAAATTTCCTTTTAAATCTATCCTTTCAAAACTGATTCCCAATGGGTCGATACAGATCCCCTGGGAGTCAGTGGAATTTTGAAAAGGATCAGTTGAGGGTCAGTAGAAAAATCAAATACTTATTCAAATACTTATTGAAATTTTGTTTTGAGAATTTCAAATAATGGCAAATTATGTGGAAAATTGATTAACTGATTTAATAAGTTGCTTGATGTACAGGTGAAAGGTATTATGCAAAATCTTGGGAAATAAAAATTTTAAGGGGGGTCAATTAAAAAGAAAAGTTTCTATAGAAGGGTATATTGAAGAAAAAGGTTGGGAACCTCTGTTTTAAGATATTTGTTTTTCATTGATAAATTAGCATTTATTGAAATCTGTAAGTAATAAATTTATTCTTAATTATTATGATATGTTTTGTTACCATTAATTATCATTAAACTGATAATTAATGGTAACAAAACATTATATCATTGTAAAGTTTTAAACAACTTCACAATGAAAATCTGCATGTATAGATTATTTCTCTCAATAAAGTAATTTTTGACTAAATTTAGACTTTTTTCATTTTAATAAAGTTAAATATAATTTAACAATGTTTTCAATATAGAAGTAGAATTAACAAACTGTTTTAATTAGTTTTGTCTTGATAGAATTAATTGATGTTTCTGGTTTCTTGTGCTTTGAAACTTTCTGCCGGTAATCAATTACATTTTTCCACATTTGTAAATTTAACAAAATACCAAGAGTTTATAAGAACATACTAATAGAATGACTGAGTCTTAAACTGGATTCAGTTTCAAAATATTTCAACACACACTGATTTTCCAGTAACAAAAATCTTTGAAAGCAATCAGTGCACTCCAATTCTCAACTATTATCAAATAAGACTGCTTTATCCAGAGATACTTAAACAAAAATTTCTTTTAATAGCAAACATTAACATTTCTAGTCATTTTAAATGACCATTTTCAGGTGATTTCAAAATAAAAATAGAAAATAAGTTTTTATTTTGGGATTGCTGGAAGATGGCCATTTAAAATGATGGAAACGTTAATGTTTACTATTAAAAGAAATTCTGTTGTTGGAAAATCAAGGTATGTTGACATCTTTTGAATATTTATTATGATATTGACTTATATATTTTATTAGTAACTAGATCTGCATTTGATTACAAAAATGCTATTATGAAAATACATCCTTGATGTAGAAAAATATTAATGGCAACATAACTAATAACAATTTGTCATTATGTTAGTTATAAGATTTTAATGGACAATGTTTGGCTAGTTACATGGTTGTTGTTTCAGATGTTAAATAACATTGATAGAAAAATTTAATAGAATAAGATGCCAAGCCATTATGAATAAATACAAAACATTACAAATAATGCAAATTCAACTGATTACAGATGGAGCAATAAATACATCTACCAAAAAGCCTTAATTCCAGCAAGGTTTAATGTGAAACAAAAACTTTCAGAGTAACATTTTTCATTAGTTTCAGGTTTGTACATTTGATGATGCATTCCATCATTGAATGTATGAACCTGAAGCTGATTTCCATTTGCAGATTGAAAATGTTAGTCTAAAAGCTTTTATTTCGCATTAAACCTCAATGGAAAAGGTTCTTTTGTAGATATATTTATTGCTGTTTTGAGTTATTCCAGTTTCCCAATTGGCATTGGAACTCAGAGTATTGGGCTAAGTTTTAGGAACATTTTCAAAAAAATTTTTTTTACATTTATAAATTTGACTATTTATTCCTATCTATTAGTATTGCTCTTTTCTAAACTACACTTTTATAAAATAATCACTCAAAAACCTATTAATGCAATATATATAACATTATTCTAATGTTTTCAATTGTTTTAAACAATCTTCAGGAAAACATTCCAATGAGAACGAATGCCTGTTTTTTTTTGTTAAAAGCAGTTAGACATTTGTTATTATTGAATGTTTTTCCTGAAGATTGTTTAAAACAATTGAAAATGTTAGAATAAAGTTATATATACTGCATTAAAAGATTTTTGAGATTATTTCATAAATTTTGACATTTTTAATGCTTAAGATGTTGAATCTTTGCCAATTGTTTGGAAATTTCTCATCAAATAATATATAAGCATGCTTTAGCTCTGCAAATATTAAATTACTTTATACTTATTGTTTATAAATTTATTATTACCTTGTATGGTTTATTTTATGTTGTTTTTTTTTGCATTATTTACAATGTATTTGTTATATTCTGTTGAATTTGTAGGATCAGTTAAAGGTGTTATCACTTTTAACTGATTAAATAAAATATTATTACTTGTTAAAAATCAGTTTGGAATTTATAACTAACAAGTTTAATATTTAATAGAACTTATCAGTATTTAAATTTTGTTTTTGAAAATGTTGGAAAAAGCAATTTAAAAGTATGTAGTCAAAAAAATTTTAACAAATTGATCTCTGTTAAACAGTGTTGGAATGTGAAAGAATGTGTGAATGGAAATTTAGGAATTATTATACTCCATCTCAATAAACGTACATCCAAAATGGTGTATAATTAATTTTCACTTATTAACTTTCAGTTAAATGATTTCGGATTTCATTTGTCCATCTTCAGAGTTGATTTTTAGTTTTGAATTTTTTGAATTTTTCCATTGACTGCCATTGCAACTACAGTTCTTTGTACGGGTTTCAAACTAATGTTCCAATTGGAATATTATAATTCAAATGAAAAAAATGAGTATTGTATTTCCTTTCCTTAAATGGCTTTTTTTTTAATTTATAATTTCCAAACAAATTTATTTGATTTTTATAAATAATTGAGACCGACTACTAATTTTCTTTTATCTCTCATTTTATACATCATATAAAGATAGAGAGATGAGAGGGAAAATATTTAATTAAATGAAATACTTGGTGATGTTTTTTTTTTAAATTTGAATTGTGGTATTCCAATTGGAACATTTGTTTAAAACCTGTAAATAGAATTGTGGTTCTAAGGTAAGTTGGTGGAAGAATTCAGAAAGTGCTTAGTTGAAATTTAGTAAGTGGAAAAATAGACTCTCTAATTCTTACTTTCGTTCTTTGTTAAAGATAAACTTGACCGAAAAACTGAACAAAGAAATTAAACCTCTTAAATTTGAGAACATAAAATTTTGTTTTTTCTCCAACATAACAACTAATTTTAGAATGTTGGTTGGATCTTAAGGATGACTTGAAAACAGTTGAACATGTCTATTTTTATATAAATTTTTCGGTTTTGAATATTTTTATTTCTTTTTGATTTCTCTTTTCTTTAAAATGAATGGTTCTTTTAATAATTTGCTTTTTTCCTTACATTTATTATTATGTAACCAATGAACTTATTTTCCTTTTTGAGTTTTAATAAAAAAAAATAGTAATTGCTAAAATTTTCTTTCTTTCAGAAGTTGCAATTGAATTGAATTGTAACATTTCAGGACAGAAGGCCCATTGTCAGAATATTTACTGTGTT